GTAAATTTTCTGATAAAAGTGACACTGACAAAGGTGAAAATGTTTAAGAGGTGAATTGGCCCCCAAGGGATACTTCCTCTGCTGTACTTTCCTTAAATACTGTAAGTAGAATGCTGTGGGACACTTATTTTATGTATGGGAGAAGTTATATGGCTTGAAGTTGTATGCTATTGAATTGTCTGGGTTAAGTAGCATCCACCAATTTAAAGCCTTGTCTTTGCTCTCTGCCTATTTCCAGCATTTAAAGTTTCTTTCTTTTGTTCTTTTTTTGGGGAGTGGGGTGTGTGTGTTCTTCTTTTATTTTTTGTGGGTTTGCTTGCTTTCCTGGTGTGTCCCTGAGCCTTCAGGAGGGATAAGAAGCTTCCTTCCTGCTGCAGGAGTATTATGTCCTGCTGGCTGTGGCCCCCCACACTCGGTGCCTTTGCCCACTGTGTTCAGGGCTTGGCCAAGGTGAGGATGTGTCACTCCCTTGTCAATCCCTTGCCTGAGAAAGTAAAGGAGGAACGACTAGTCCCAGCCATAGAAAAAGCCACAGAGATTTCAGGCCAGGTTATTTATTTTTCTGGTGTTGCATTTTGTGCTGTGCCATTCAGGACAGAGGCAAAGTCACAGAGGCAGGAGGGTGAAAGCAGTTCTACGCTTTTCCCTGTCACAGCAACTTGTCAGGGAATCTCTAATAGCTATTTTTATTCTCACATAGGTTGAGTCAAATCCATTCGTTTCAAAATTACTGCCCTGACATTTGAACCTTTCAGGCAGACTGCTAGTGGCAGCACCTTATTTTTCTGTTGGAAAAGGATTAAAAAAAATCGTTGACATGTAATTAAAGGAACCAGATAGAATGACATCCATTATTGAATAATGAGCTATAAATCCTTTGTTACAAATCACTTTAACGTAGCAATGGTATGGGAGGATTCAGAGAGGATGATGACTTGTTTAGCTTAAGTACTGATCTTGTACATAGACAAAAGCTCATGAGCCTTGTTCCATTAAAGACACACCTTTACAGAGCAGACAAAATCTTGGACCAAAATGGCAAAATGGAGCAGGAAGGAGTGAGCCTCTGTATCAGTAAGACACCAAACACATCATGTGAAAACAGAAAATATCCTTAAAAATCCCCTATTTCTGTTTGCTTGCAGTGCAGTGAGCCCTGTGCAGGCACTGCCCATGTGAATCCCCAGGCCCAGGAAATCCTTGCAGTCCAGGTGCCGGGCAGGCTCCGTGTGGGAGGTGAGCATGGAGTGATACTCTGCATGTCCTCCCTGCTGCACTTGTGCTGGTCTTACAGTGCCAGGTACATAACCCAGGGATATGTAGGATCTGTGACCCATGTGCTACACCTAATCACACTACTGGAAGGAGAGGGAGAAGGAGATTAAACCTTACTTGGCCTTTTTAAACTTGCTGAGTCTCTGTCTGGATGTCTGTGTACAATTTTTTTAAGAATTAGGACTGTAGAGTTCTAGACAGGTGAACTCCATCTTACATCTACTTTTCTGAAGTATCCATCTACAAATGTGTTTTCTGTCTGTATAACTGTTGTCTCTCAGAATTCAAAATATTACTACTACATAGCTTCTAATTGAATACTAAGCTATAATTAATAGTTCTTTTTAATTAAGAGGAAGCTTCAATGGCCTAAGATAGAATATTGAAAGTAATTAATTGTAAATTAAATTAGAAGCCACTTGTTAGGTTTAACAAAACAAAATTAAAATTGAGAAAATGGTTTTATGCTGTAAGGGGTAAGCTTTACATGGGGTAAATAGTTATAATTATAATCTGAATTATCTTTTTATCAGTGCCAAAATATAAAATTTCTCTATTACATGAAACTTAGATAAGTTTTGGAGGCATTTTATGTAATACTATGGGGTTCAGCAGAGATAGGTAGGGGTTGAGACTGAAACAGGATAGAAACAAAATGTAGGTTAGCTGAAATTCTAGGGCAGCTCAGAGATGTTTTAGCAAAGTGTGATTCTACAATGTTTTTAAGGAGAGGAAAAACAAATAAACGTTTTTCTTTTCTGGTAATACAGTCTGCAAAGATTTTGATATCTGTCTTTAGTGGTAACTGAAAGCTGAAGGATTTGGGAAAATTGAGCTGTCTGTGTGGGTAGAATCAGAGGAATGTTCTTTAATGCCACATCCCAGGATTTGAGCTGGTTTCTGTGCAAGATGCATGACACAATCTTTTTTATGCTGTATGTAAGAAAAGACTGGGTCTCTGGTAAAATGATTGTGATGTTCCAAAAGTTCAAAGATTTACTCCATTTAGACCCCCTGCAATTGAGAAAACTTTTGAAATTTTTCTCTCTTACCTCTGGACAAATCCCCTTGCATCCCCCTGAATACAGGCCTGGCCCAGGCTCTCTTGCTTTGACTCATTCCTGATCTGAATCAGCTCCCACTCAAGCTCCTGTATTGCTTGAAGAATCTCTGTCTGTCTGGTCTGACAGGTTGCTGCTGCCACATATCAGGCATTCTCAGGGACTCTCCTCAGGATTAGAAAGGTACAAAACCTATCCAGTGCCTCTGCCTGTGAGGAAGCCCATCAGCAAGCAAGACTTGGAGACAATTCAGTTAAACATTACTGAGTCAGCTGAGACACACCTGTGTGTTTCACAGAACGTCAGCAAAGGGATCCCTCCACACCTTTTGGTAAAGAAGTGGCTGGGTGATTTTACAATGATATATATCCAGGTGGACCTGTCTCTGGAAAATGTAATTTGATTTATGCTGTTGAGAAAAGTCGGTTTCCAAATAGTTTTATCAGTGTATTCATAATTCTATGGTAAGTGTAACCCCTGACATAATCTACCTACTCTCCTTCTTAGATCTTATTTTTACAGGTACATTGGAGACCAAGAAATTAGAGCCTAACTCAACAAACTAGGACAGAGCACAATGCAGTGAGCTAGTGTCACAGAATATTTGAGCATCCCACATGTCCTGGGGACAGATCAGTACAAAGCTGGTTAGAGAAGCTGTTATGTGCCTCAGCTGTTGCAGTATGTGTCAACTCATGCAAGAGGCAAAGGAAAGCAGCTAAAATGTAAAAGAATTAGTTAACTTGTAGAAACTATTTCTGGAAGAGTCAAATAGTAAGAACTTTTACTACAATCTTGTTTTAATACTTGACCTTAAATTAAAAATGCACTTTCTTTTACACATCTTTTTTATATAGGCATGTAGTTTCCAGCTGAAATATTTTTATATTTGATGCCACCTCTTAATGGGAACAGGTTTTCTTCTATAATGAGAGCCAGGTAAAAATGTCTAAAATAGCGCCTTTATTAGTGCTTCATCACTTAAAACAATGATCAGTAGCTTCATGTACTTCTTGGAATTGCATATGATGTGCCCATGCTAGTACTGCAAATATCTTGGGTAGTGTAGATAAAGAAGTGTGTCACCAATGAAGTACATTAGACAGTTGGGTTCTGACATTAAGCTGTTTCAGTTTAATTTTGTTATCTGGTCAGTTGTACTATTCTGATGGGACTGGAGAAGATATGGTAACAGGAAGAGGGTGATATGAGAAAACCTCATGTGCTATGTTATATTGAGTGGGTCAAATGCATGGTGTTGTTTATAGATAAAGAAGTCCGTTCCTGTTGGTTAGCAGTTACTTTTATTGTGGAGCAGAGGAAAAGATAGTGCTGCTTCATCCCTGTTTCAATCCAGTAGAAGTCCATTCCTCATCTAAGCTTTAGTGATTGTTTATTCAATGTGACATGATGTCTTTGGGAAGAGTGACATAAAAGAGAGGAAATGACGTTTGGAGGGGAAAAATGCCACTTGACCTCATGGGTTTGTCCTCCCTTAAGTTTTTCTTAACCCCCACTTTTCTGTGTTGTCACTAGATCCTTTAATCCCTTCTCTCTCCATAAAAGTGCCAAGATGTCTCCAAGCCACTTAGACTGCAGTGCTTGTTTCCATGTTCTTACTTGGCAACTAATTCCATGAGTTCATCATTCTGACCCTGAGTGAAATAGTTTGAATTTCCGCTATACACAATTATTTTGGGTTATGACTTCTGACTTTTGAACCCCTCACCAGAATGCACCATTTAAATCTCTTCATCAGCTCTGAGTGCTGTCACTGGGTCAGCTCAGTGTCAATATTCTTCTAGCAGCATTATGCTAGTCAGAATTTCTTCCTACGTCTTCTCTTGGAACAACTGCAGCAAAATCTGGAATCTTCTGTTCAGAAGGCATGATCCTTTCACTATTATTCATGTTCTCCAGGAGTCATGGGATTGTTTACAGCATATGAGACAGTGAGGTGCTGTATGAAAAGTAAGCTGGACTCAATAACTAATAGTCCTTGTTGTGTATTTCATGCTCTCTGCAACTGTGCTGGGCTGCATCCTGGTCTCATCTGCAGCAATACTAGTAAGCAGCATAAGCAATTTTAGCACATGATCTGAGTGCAAAAAGAGGTATAACCTCAGAAAGCTGATCTGCTGTTGTTCCTCTGTGTTGTAAAAATATTCTATATGCATTTTGTTTTCAGTTTTTAAAACATCTCCAGTTTAAAAAAAAGAATTAAAATATAGCAGATATTAAATACCTAGTCACTGCACGTTGATATAGATCATCTAATTTATCTTATTCTTTTTTTCACAAATTCTGCTCTGTAGCTGTAGGAAGTAATATGATATTAAAGAGTGATTTTCCTTCCAGTTGCTTCAGCCATTTATTGTATTGATATTGTCAAGTACTCCTGTAAAATAAACTCACAGCCCAGACCTGCTTAATTCAGCCAAATGCTGATCTGCCAGTATATATCTTTAGTGAAGCCTGATTTGGTGGAAAGGAGTTCAATTGAGGGTGCAAAATGGACCTACGGATGGATTCCCAGATGGAACTGTTTTGAAGTCTGTGTAAAAGCTGATAATAATCTCCTAAAATGCACTCTAAGCCAAAAAAGAGCAGAAAAGGACTTACACCACTAAAGTGGTATTTACTATTTTTTATTTCCTTCCTTAGCTTACTATCAGCCATGGGAATTTACAAGCTTTCCAACAAGACTGAAGAAGTCCAGGAAACCACAATGACAGATCCACTTGAAACAACCATTTCATGTGAGTGTGTTGAGAAAATACAAAATATTTTTTATCAGTGTCTGAAGATGTCTATTAGAAACATCACTAATACTACAAAGTTCAGTGCAATAAAAGGAGTGTTTCTCATGCACAGCTGGCAGACATTTGTTGGCATCAGTATTTTTTTATGTGAAGGCCACTGTAAGCAATCCAGTTCTCCCAGAAATGAGTCTAAGATTACAAATTTTGGGCACATTCTTCAAGAGATTTGTTTTTCTCTTTAAACATTAATTTATAAACAAGATAATCTGCTAAGAAAAATCTCAATGTTTTTGTGAGTTTTTTTGACTATGCAAAAGTCAATAAACATGTAAAAAGTTTGACTGTGTGAACAACATAAATTGTTGATCATTATAAGAAAAAAACCTCTCTTGTTCTGGATTTGTTTGGCTTGAAAATTCTTTTTTCTATTTTGGCCAGAAATAAGAGGTAGTATGAGGAAGGAAGTCTTTTTAGAAGTATGTAGGTAGCCATCAACCAGAACCAGAAAGTGCAGAGGCACAGAAAAAATGAACAGGGATAAAAAAAAGGTAAGAAATTCCTTGCAGACCTCGAATAGAATAGAATAGAATAGAATAGAGCAGAATATGCTGAGTTGGAAGGGATCCATGAGAATCATTGAGCCCAACACCTGGCCCTGCAGAGACACCCTGAGAATCACACCATGTGCCTGAGAGCGTTGTCCAAATGCTTTGTGAACTTAGACAGGCTTGGTGCTGTGCCCACTTCCCTGGGGAGCCTGTTCAGTGCCCAATCACCGTCTGGGTGAAAAACTTTCTCCTGATATACAACCTAAACCTGCCCCAGCTCAGCTTCATGCCATTTCCTCGAGTTCTGTCACTGGTCACAAGAGTGACTGCAATGAGGTCTCCCCTCAGTCTCCTCTTCTCCAGCTGAACAGACCAAGTGCCCTCAGCCGCTCCTCACACGGCCTCCCCTCAAGCCCTTCACCATCTTCATTGCCCTCCTTTGGACACTCCTAAGAGCTTATTATCTTTTTTATATTGTAGTGACCAAAACTGCCACAATATTCAAGGTGAGGCCACCCCACTGCAGAGGCAGAGTGGGACAATCCCCTCCCTCACCTGGCTGGCGATGCTTTGCTTGATGCCCCCAGGACATGGTTGGCCCTCCTGACTGCCACATTCAACTTGCCATGGACCAGGACCCCCAGGTCCCTTTCCTGGCACTGCTTTCCAGCATCTCATTCCCCAGTCCATCCGTACATCCAGGGTAGCCCCATTCCAGGTGCAGAATTCAGCACTTTCCCTTTTTGAACTTCACATGGTTGGTGATTGCCCAGCCCTCTAATTTGTCAAGGTCTCTCTGCAGTGCTGTTGAGGGAATCAACAGCTCCTTCCAGTTTAGTGTTGTCAGCAAGCTTACTTGGTATTCCTTGAGTCCTGCGTCCAGGTTGTTAATGAAGATGTTGAAGAGCACAGGGGCCTAAGATGGAGCCCTGTGGAACCCCACTAGTGACAGGTTGCCAGCCTGATGTCACCCCATTTACTATAACTCTTTATGCCCAACCTGTGAGAGAGTTGCTCACTCATCACAATAACATGGTTATCCAGCTGTGGGCTGGACATTTTATCCAAAAGGATACTGTGAAAGACAGTATCAAAAGCTTTGCGAAGTCCAAAAAGGTTACATCTACTGACTTTCTTAGACCAACTAGGTGGGCTACCCTGTCATAGAAGGAAATCAGGTTTGACAAGCAGGACTTCCTCATGTGTGACCAATGACTGCGTTGTCCACCAGGTGTTTTTAATACCTCCCAGAATAATCTTCTCCATAACTTTGCCAGGTGCTGAAGTGAGACTGACAGGCCTGTAGTTTCTGGGGTCCTCCTTCTTGCCCTTCTTGAAAATCGGGACAACATTTACCAGCTTCCAGTCAGCTGGGACCTCTCTGGATCCCCAAGACTGCTCAAAAATCATTTAGAGAGGCTTTGCAATCATATTATCCAGCTCTTTGAGGATTCTTGGATGAATTCCATCATGCCCCATAGGGATCCAGCTGGAGCAGCAGATCCTGCACAAGTTCTGGGTCAACTGGGAGTTGATCACTCTCTCAGTCATGGTCCTCCAGCTCAGGGCACTGAGACCCCCTTGGTCCATCATCCGTGTTGAAGACAGAGGCAAAGAAAGCATTAAACATCTCTGCCTTGTCTCTGTCCCTGTTTGTGAGGTGACCATCCTCATCCTGGAATGGGACGATATTTCTATATTGCCTATTGCCATTAGTGTATTTGGAAAAGCTCTTTTTATTATCCCCCACGTTTCTGGCCAGCTTCAACTCCAGCTGAGCTTTGGCCACATAAATTTTCTCCCTACAGTGGCAAACAGCATCTCTGAAGTCTTCCCGTGTCACTTGACCTTGCTTCCATTGGGCACACACTTTCCTTTTTCAATAATCCAGTGTATCTCATCTTTGTATTATAAACTTGCTGATTCTCCTGACAGTGACATTTCTGCTACTTCTTGATTCTACAGGAAGTGTTCAGAGCCTGGCTTGGAGAAAGAGTGTGGTATTCAGTGCCCTTTTGTGTAACTTCCACTGCACTGTAACGTGGTCTCATCCAGTGACGGAAGTGCTGGCCTCAGATGGTTTGGGTGTTACTGAGAGCACAACATACTTGAGGCACTCAACTGCCACATTTCTGATGGGTTGTGGTGAGCTGGGAAGAGAGAAACAGACATGGTGTGTGAAGAGGCCTCACAGTGATGTGTGAAAGGACTTGGCTGTACAGTCTTGTGCACGTGCACCCATCACCTAACCAGGTGGTTGGCTAGAAATACCTCAGAAAAAACTGCCCATGTCAACCTCCAAAGTTTTCTGCTCCAGAGACCTACCTCACAGTATTTCTCCACCTACACCAGAAACTCAAAGCTCTTCTCTGCCCCATTCCCACTGTCCATCTTCCCGCAACTCTTCTCATCCTGGTGGGCCAGGGAGGGAGTGGAGTACACTGTGTCCTGCTCTGGGCTCAGAGCCAGCTCAGAAAAACAATTTGTGCACCTATTGAGACTGGGCAGTAGAGGAATTCTGGGCAAGCAAAATCATCCTCTCCTTTCAATTTCTATACGAAATTCTGGGGCAGAAAACCTTTCAGTGTGGCAGTTCGGTGCAGAGATGTAATCAGCGTCTTTATTTGTCCCACAAACTATTATTATGGGTTGAGATGGAGAAAGATGTTTGTCAGAGCGATTCTCAGATCCCAAGCTGAGCTTTCAAAGCAAGCAAAGTAAAATAGATTGAGCACAATTTATGTGTAAATCAGTAAGATACAAGCAGTGTGAAATCTCAAGTGTAACACTAGTGGGAATAACCAAACTACTGTAGTTAGTGAGGTACTGCTGTATATCTGAGCATGTGGATTTTAGATTGCTTTTGGAAAATACTCTGTCAGCTATGCTATACTTTTTTTTTCCCCCATGGTTTGCTGAGTCCTCTGCTTAGTCTACTTTAGGTCTCATAAATGGAAGTTTCTTTGACTGCTACCTGCAGATTATAACAGTATCACATGAAGCCAACATATGGACAGTGATGTTTTTTGTAGAGCTTCATCCCAAGTATGTTTTTTGGAGTAGAGCTTCATTTAGAACAAGTTTTTGGTGCAAACGAAGGCATATGGGCCCACACTCTCTAAACCATGAGCTGGCTCTTCCAAGAGGCTTTTTTTGTTGGATTCCACAGCATGGTTTGTAGTATGCTCACCACCAGGAGCTATTAATTTAATAGGATTGAGATTGTTTCCCATAACACAGTGCTCCACTGCTTCCTTGTAAAAAATAATCATGTGGCTTTTTTTGTAGGTTACATGCAGTCCTCAGGATTTTGTGATTTCATTGGAAGATGCCTACAATTATCAACTAACTTCAGGTTTAATTAGCTGATTATCTTGTCTCGTAACTCTGCCTACCCTTTAAAGTTTCAGGTTTTTTTTCCCAAATATTTCCCAGAGTGTCATTTTGTACTTATTTAAATTTTGTGGATGCTTGGTGGTGAATTCTTCTTGGTTTTGAATCTAGTCCAAATAACTATGCCTATATAGAACCTAGTTTGCCCTGTATAAAAGATTGTACTGGCACCAATGTAAAGCAAGGAAATGGCTTGCAGGCCACAGCATAATAAATTAATCAGATTTAGTCATCCTCCTGGGACGCAGATGAGTCAACTCAGGTCAAGACACTTCTGGGAAAACTAGATAGCTGGTAAATGTATTACCAGCTGACTATCAAAGTCCCTGTGCCATACCAGGAAATATCCCTGCCTTGGGCAATGCTTCCCTTCCTGCAATGACAGAAGCAAACCCCATGTTTAACAACTTTTTCTCCTTTTTCTATTCCTTGCAACTAGTTCTGGCAAGCCAAACAATTTTTTTCTCCATGCCATTCTCTGTATTTGTGGGCTAACAACATAGCTTTTTACTAGATGCAGTACTACTCCCAATGTAATATGCAGCCTTTTTATCTTCTAGTAGACAAGAGGCAGAGCTACCTCATGATTTTTAAAAATTTGTTTATTTAATCATCGTTTCCTCTTTTCTGAAATGGGGTCTAGATTGTCATTTCAGAATAAAGCAGGAACATCTCCTTTCACTGCACCACATTCTACTATGATATGCAGAATTAAAGACTGTGCTCCCACCTGAGTAAAGATTATATAGTTTGTTGCATAATGGGATGTGAAACCAAACCACCACCATCTGTTCTCATCAATATCTCTTCCTTTTCATAGTGGTATTTGAGGGGACACTCAAAATTCCCTGTTGGGGCTGAGCACTGATGCCTCAAGGTATAGATGTTTCTTAATCTGAAGCAGCTCCTATTAATCTTAACAGCTTCTTTTTATTTTGATAGGCAGAGCTGATCAGCAGATCCACAATCATTTTATTTTGTTTTTATAAGTAACTACTCCCCAAATAAAACATAAACTGTTTCTATCTTAGACTTTTTAATATCATCTTATTTTAGATGTCTCTGGATATGCCACAAACAGGGATGGCCATGACCTCACCAGGATGAATTTAGTAAGGAGTCTGTTAGTTACTTCTTCTTCCCTTCCATCTGCCTGTGCCTATCAGCACTTCCCAGTAGCACTTGTCAGCCAGGACCTGTTGGACATCACAGGTGGATCCAGGTCTGATCTAATGATTTACTTCCATCATTTATGCCCTTGAAGCTTTGGATAGTAACCTCATTCCAATGTGTTCTCTTTATCTCATGTGTACCTGTGTGTCCGAGGTGTAGCATCATCCAGAGATTTGGGATGAATGGAGTTGGTGGGAGGGGAACTGTCTGGAAATGTTCCAGTGATGCCAAGGTCTACAAACACAGATCTGTTGAGGCTGAAATGTTTGGCATTACATGCATTTTTGCTGAATTACTACAGCTTTGCTAGAGAATATAATCTCGCATCTGGCAGATGGCTGTCTTGGGAACGTGATCTCAATGCCTCTTGGAGTCTCGGATCTCAGGCTGACCAATAGTGGCTTGCCCTGCATCAAGAGACCTTGAGAATTCCACAGAGGGGCAGCCCACCCAGGCAATGTGCTCTGGAAGGGATTCCTTGTGTTTGGTGCTGTTTCCAGCTTTGGAGCTGTAGATTTCAGGGATTGCAGACACTCAGCCTCACATGAGTACATTCTTTGGCAACACCCTGAACAGTGCCTAAACAAGGAAGTGAACACATTTCTATTCCTACAGTGTGTTACCTTCTTTGTGTTTGCTTCTTCAAGTTCCACCAGGAGAGACATTTATATAAAGAGTAACTGTGACTTGGAATTTTACCAGTGAATATTTCAGAATTTGTGTTCTGTGAACCATACTAGTCCTAAAGTTTGCTTTTGAATTAAAGGCTTGTTTAACCTACTAACACAATGTGAGTGCACCCATCTTCTCTTACAGTGAAGAAGTTGCAGCTGAAGACACATATCCCACAATCATTTGGACTTTTTTGCTGTTTGAGATGTTCACCTATATGGTCTTTCATGATAAATCTGAGAATTTTGCAATGCGTGGACAACTTGCAGACATGGAAAAAAATCATCAAATAATTTAGTTAGATCCAGTCTGTACATGCCAGTGATGTTCAGCTAATAAATAACTTAGTGCAAATAGATAAAGTTATCTACAAAGCAATATATTTGTATATATAGCCCCTCATTGCTGTTTTGATCACTTATCTACCTTGGCCAGAACTGCACTTGAATTTGTTTCAGAAGAGAAAAAAAGGCTTTATGGCAAAAGAGTTTGATTATTTCACTCTGGTAGACATCATGAAGGATTTGATATTGCTGGATCAGATAAGTGTGATTCTTAGGTTTTTTTGACTAATCTTTTTGAATGTCAATATTTAGAGAGCTTGGTGATGGGTATTTAACAAACCTTAAGGTAACATGTATGTCCTGTGGCCTGTACAAGGTTCTGTTTCCTAAACTGGATGGGATTCCAAGCCTTTAGACAGATAAATCATGTACATGGCTCCTGGGAGATTCAGATGTTAAACTGATTGTCTCCTGATGATAAAGCTCAGTTAAGTATCCCTTAAAGATTTTAAAATGTAGGCCTCAGTCCTACAGTATAATGCACATCGATTCACTGGCTTCAGCTACGGATTTACTTGGAAACAGGTGTCCTCTAGCATGTGACACATGGCGGGATTGAAACAGATTCTCCCATATTTTGGTTGTTGCGAAGCTTTTACCTGAGAGTATGGAAAACTCTCAGGCATAAAATCCCAGTGGTCTTCTGAAATTTAATCTGACCGGTACTTTTTTCTGGCTGAAGAGATTATTGGGGTTTTTCTATTGCTGCAGTTGTGAATGGGACTTCAGATGTAGAGACAATAATGTCAATGACACAGAGTATATGCCTGAAATTGAAATGCTGAAATGCTGTCTTGGTCCTGTGAATTTTAATTTGTAACATGGATCTGAACTCTGTTAAAAATCCAGGTAGAAGTATCCTTCTGGCTTCACACATCTCTCCTGGACTCATTTCTTGCAAACAGAACTGCTCTCTCAGAAGCCCCTTCCACAGAGAACTGTGTAGGATTAGGACTGTAAGCAAGCTGTGACAGAAATGCCAGCTGTGACATAGGATTCCATGTCAGTGCTGTGGGAAGATGGCAAAAGAGCCTAGTTCCTGTGCAGTACTTCTCATTCATAGATTTTTTGAGTGTCATTTTACAGCAATATCCCAAGGTTACTCAGCAGATAAGTGACACAGCTGGAAATGAAGTCCAGGTGTCCTGAGCCCTCGTCCACTGCTCCATCCATCCCGCCTCCAAAGAAGCAATGTTTGCAAAGAGCTGTAGGAAATGCCCGATTTGCCTTGTGTTTCACCCCGGCAATGGAATGCTAGGTCAGCAGTATTTGTTTTCTTATCTTGATCCCCCTAATTTTTACTTTTTAGAGAGTTCTGTCTGTAACAGAGCTTCTTGCAAACTCAAAACATGTTGCTGGTAGAGCTTGAAAAATTTCTTTCAAGAAATTCAAATCTCTTTACGCTTGTAAAATGATGATTCCCCAACTTTGCCTGTAGACCTTGGAAAATGGTAATGGGAGGAAGTGATCTCCTGATCTCCAGCTGTGGTTCTGTGTGCTGCTCTGATCCCACCGATGACTGGATTTGAGAGTTAAGCACGGCTGGTCCTGCCTCTGCCCTGTGTCGGATTTCACCCTTCTGCCCTTGCTCTGAAGGTAATGGGTTTAGATACGAAATACCCATACGAAACAGACTGTTTCTTGGTCAGGAGCTGAACAGATTGCTGTATTTAAAAGCCCCACCACCCATTGCTACAAATCTATTAAACATCTCCAGTTAGCCATACAGCCTCCTGCTTCAGCAGCTGAGCATGTAAATTCCTGTGACCAAATAACTGCACAGTTAACTGCTTTCACATGTGCTCCCACCGTGCCCATCTCAAAAGGTGAAATCCTAGCCCGGCTCTGCCCCGTGGGCAGCTGGACGGTGACCAGGACAGGGCGGTTTGGGAGGCTGGACGGGGCACCCTGCAGCCTTACCCTGTACGGCTCCCTGGGCACGGGGCAGAGGCAGCCTGGGTGACAGTGACAGTGGGACCTCTGGCTGTCCCTTCTGCTCCTCTCCCCTCGCACTGTAAGAGCCAGAGGCTGCCGTGGGAGCCCAGATGCTGCCGGGCTTTCCCAGGACCTGATCCTGATGGAGTTCGGGCAGCGGAGCTCATGGTGGCTCCCCCGGCATTGCCTCCTGTGCCCTGGGGTGCTCCTCCCCACACTTATGGGAGGGGAAACTGCTTTTATTTTTCTACCTCCGGGGCCGCGGGCAGGTTTTGTTCCGAGCGGAACAACGCTCTGAGAGGGCAAGGAGCTTCCCCCGGCTGCCCCTGCCCGGGCTGGCACGAAGGGGCCCGGGGTGCCCGTGAGGGACCGGCCGCGCTGGGGGCAGAAGAGCCGCGTCCGCCGGGCCGGGACCCCGCGGCTGAGGCGGGGCCGCGGCGGCTCGGGAGGGTGTTTGCCTTGGCCTCGGCAGCGAGCGGGCCGCTGGCCGCCGGCCAGCCGGGGATATTTCCTTTCGGCCTTGTTCGCAGAGGCATTCAGGAAAACAATTGAGAGCGATGAGGGCTTTCCCGTTCCGGCAGCGTGCGGCTCCGGCCAGCGCAGCCCGGCCTGGGGACCTGCTGCCGGGGGCTGGGGCTGGGGGAGAGGCGGTGTTGAGCGAAGTGCTTTGAAATAAAAAAATCCCCCCACCCTGTCGGTGCAATGGGTATAAAAACTGCTCAAGAAGCAGGCCTTAGGTTGCCCAAGATGCCAGCGATGCCGAGGAAATCATATGGAACATAGACCAATAAGGACAGAAATGCTCGAATTTCAGCCGTTTGCATCACCTGGGGCACGGCAGCAATTAAACGTGAGCACAGGGAAAACTTGGCAAGTCTCTACCTCCTTGTACATGTACAACCACAGCGATTGTAAAGGAGCCAGGCAGGTGCTGGGAATGCCCCCTTACAGCTCAGGGAAGCTCTGAGACAAGGTCTGTCCTGAGTTTCCTCTTAAATCTGAGCTTGTGGTCTGACGGGGCAAGGACATGTGCAAGGACATGATGCCAGGGTAATTCCACGTGGGCCAGGACAGGCTCCAGAGGGGTTTGTCAGCTCCTGCTGATGTCACTTAGGGAGAAGTGCCCACCTTGACTGACTACAGCCCAGAGAAGCTGTGTGGCCGGGACAGAAGCAGCTGCCAGGGCTGGTATATAATGGTAAAAGCCGGGTCAGAAACCTTGTCTGCAGCGTCTGGTGGCCTCTTGCTGCCTCCCCATACCACGGCTTGTTCGTGCTGTCTTGCTCTGGGGAAATAGCTGCATGTTGGGTGAAGCCTTGCATGTGCTGATGCGACACTGTCAATACTGCAGCTCGAGTTCTTCACTTTAGGGATAAAATTTAAAGGTGTTTGTTTCTGTGTTCAGAAGGCAGGAATGCTAAAACTGTAACGTTGAATTGTTAAGTGGTGTCTCTCATTGAAGCCTGTTAGGGTTGGGTTGTGCACAAATGACCATTGTTACTGGAATAAGCTTTTTCTTTTCAACTAATGATTACCTGACATCTTACTACAGGAATTTGTATTGGAAGAACTATAGCCTTAAGGGCAGGTGCAGTGATTATATGGGAGCATCCCAGTGTAGTTGACAAGGCCTTTGGCATATTGCAGCCTAAATAAATTTTTATTTTTATTTTAATGACATTTGAAAAGCACTTGAATTATTTTGAAATGAGTTTCTTTCAAAATATATTCTAAATGTCTGGGGTTTGTTTCCTTTTTATATACAACCCAAATTCAGCTGTTCTTTTTAACATGAATAGTTTAATTATACTGTTTCGTGTTTCAAGACTATTCTGGTAGGGGAGAGGCTTGAAAATTATCCTGGAAAAGTCATCAACAAATGATCTCAAGAGCACAAGCTGCAATTTTCAGGTGCACTTTTTTTCTTCCACATCAGAGGGAAGTCACAGATATATGTTACCTCAACCTAAAAAATGGCACATTTCTTGTTGCTGTTTGGACTGGAGAGGGATGCACTGCTTGTTTGTCTTTAGGGCTGAACAGTTGTATCTCACATCTAGCAATACCAACAGGGAGTTTTAAAAAGCAGTCTACCCTGAGTGTCACACCTTTTCATGCTTGAAGAAACACTAGGAACTCTGTTTCAGTTCCAGTGAGTTTGTAATGTTCCTTTATCTCTGTGAGGTCTTATGTTTTTCTAAAAATTGTGGCAGCCCATGAAATTAACTTCGTTTTGGAATTACAAACTCTGAATTCAAATTTTATCACTTTGTGGAGCTTAACAGAGCACTAGGTTTGTGATTTTATTCACAAAGCTATGGATCATTGCAAATTGCTTCCTACTATTTGACAGCTTCCTTTTTAGAAATTTCAACACTCCAGCTATCTGCCTTCAGCAGTATATGATTCTAATCACTGATATGATTTCATAATCCTCCTTTAATTCAGCAAACATTCCAGATTATCAGTATGCGATTTGTATTTTGGGAGGGCACAGTGCTGCAAAATTTTCCTGTTGTCAGGCTTTTGGGTTTTGTAGCTGAAAGGTGCATATTGTTAACCAGGAGTAATTTCTTAGATGTAGTTTATAAATATGTGTAACTATTTTGGGTTGTAGAGATGACATTCCCTTCAATGAATGTAAGACATAAAGCTGCAGAGTTTAAAGCCAAATTCAGCAGGAAGAAAGAAAATTACTTCCATATATCTTCTGTATGTCATTAAATGGAAAATGAGATAATTCTTCCATACATCCGAAAACCAAATAAAAAGGTCTATTCTCCTCTCAGTTTCTGTGTATAAACCCAGCTAATTTTTGTGGCAGTTATGCACATTGATGGGAGAAAAGATGCCTCAAGTAGGATGATACGGTATACATATATTACTAAATAGAATACTCATTTTACTTAGGATAATCCGTCTTTGTTCCAGATATATGTAGGCATTCTTCTTAAAGCAAGTGTTTTAGTTGTCAGGATGACTTGATACATTTGTTCTTTGATGTCAAATTCAGTTGCATCATTGTGGAATGGTTGCTACAGAAACCCTAGCCCAGTTTTTAAATGTATTGAGTTCTCTTCTTATTACTTAGAAAAGCTGGATTTGATTTCTTTCCTGTAAAAAAGTTCGTAATAAAAGGGGTGAAACCTCTGAAACTGTAGCAATAAGCGTGGAAAAAGTACCCAGATAGTGAGATCAGAGACAATAAGGAAAAAAGCAATTTAGAGTCCAACAAAGTATATCTCTTGATAAAATGCTCCCCGTTGTAATTGAAACCAGAGCTAAATTAGATCAATACCAAAATATTAAAGTGTGCCAAACCTGTTTTCTGTAGGCTTTGCTATAATTGGATTCTGATGCAAGAGATAGCTTAAGTAGGCAAAGTCTGTTGACTCAAGACCATGATTATTCATAGAAAAAGAGCTTCCTGCAAAGGTATACACTGCATTTATCCGGTGTTTCTTGAAGAATTAATACATTTCTATCCTTCTCTTCCATGCTGATGCATTTGAAGTCTGTATCTTGCCTACAGTAAATCTCTGTCTTGCTTAACAAGAAACTATTTCACTGTATAAGCGAGGCATATTGACAACAGATTTAACCCAGACAACTCAGCTTTATTCAATCAGAAGAATGCTGGCCTGGTTTCAGGTTTCTGGGATACAGGCACAAATGGACATGCCCCAAGTAGAATCCATTTGTTTTCCCATGAATGCACCTAGTAGGAGGTCAAATAAAAATAAATATTTTGGCTCTTCAGAGCAAGATAGATTTCTGAAGTATTTGTGATTCAGAGTGGAAATGTGATTACAACAAGCAGAGGTAGCATCTGAAATATGTTCTATTGAGAGTGAAAAAAAGCATTGTTTTCTCTCTCTGTCTGTGTTTTAAGCTGTGGTTATTCCTTGTCTTCACTAATCAGATTTATGAGAATAACTACATATATCTTAATGCTGTTCTCCTCTTTGTAGAAGCTCAGGAGTTAAGGAAAAATAGTCATTTTTGTAGTATTTTAGGATTTTTTTTTTAAATGTAGGTATAACTTATGCAAAGAAGTAGTTTATTGACTTCCCCTGTGATAGTAAGAATAAATCAATTTAGATCCAGAATACGAGGGGCCCCAGATTCTCTGTGGAGTTCCACCAAACAATGGAATAAATTGTGCAAGGGCAATTTGTCCCTAATGTTTTTGGCTATTTGATTTTGTTGAGGTTTTGCCCGTATTATTTAGGTATTCACTGTAATTTATACTGCCGTGTAAAAAAACCCTGCATATTTGCCTGCAGGGGAGTGAGTGCTCACTGAAACAGTCCTTTGAACATAATAAAAAAGAAATCCCCAGGTAATAAAAAAAAATTCCTGGCTTTTATGAATAATGCATTTGTGGAACGGGGGGGAGAGGAAGTGCTTTTTAGATTTATTCCCCCCTCTGCCCCCCACTCAACCTGTTGGCAGAAATAAGCTCAAGGTTGGGAGTGGGTTCCCACATTGTGAGTATGCTCTGAGGCACTTTTTTCAAGGTCCTGGTTTAAATGCTGCAACATAACCAGACACTAAATACTGGTAATTCTGATTTATTTGTTTGTTTGTTTTTAAAGTCTGTGGGTGTCTTCCCCTGTGTATTGACCATCTGGTTGTGGGTTAGGCTGTTTGGGATATGC